TACTAAATCAAATAATAAAACTAAAAATAAAATAAAGAAAAATAAAGAAATAGAAAATTATAGGCATGACAATATTAATAGAATTAAAGGAGATAATACAAAAGTAGAAATACTAGCAGAATCTGATAAGTTAGAAGGATATAATATTATTGGAATAGTAAAAACTAATATTGGGGAACAAAAAGGCAAGTAAATAAATACAGAAGAATACAGATTTTCAAGCTTTTGAACAGAAGCAAAAAAAGGAAAACAAAAAGGGTCAGGAATTAGGCTACTAGTCGACCAGAATTGGTTAAGAAATATGGAAGTTTATAAAAGGTTTAACCTATATCTGCTTAAGGCTGAATTTTTCTTTAGAAGAGTAGTTTTTCAAGTTTAGATAGTATACTTACCATCTAAGAATAAAGAAGTAATGAGAAAAGTACACAAAATACTAATAGAAGAAATCATCAAGAATAGAAAAAATACAGTATATATGATTTTAAGAGACTTTAATACAGTATTAAATGAAAGACTAGATATGAGTAGCAAAGGAAAAAGAAATGCAGATACTGGTACAAGAATCACAAAGTACTGATCATATAGAAACCTTCTGATTCTCTAATCCAGAACTAATTAAATATTTATAGTTAAATAGAAATGTATTAACTAGAATAGATCATATTTGGACAATACAAGAGATAGGAAATCTTATTTTAGATAGTAATATAGAATCAATGGAGACAGTAACAGATAGCAATCATAAAATAATCTAGGTACAACTAGATAGTGCAGGTATTTTAGAGAAAAACAAGCAGAAAAGCAAGAAGGAACAGAAAAAAACAAGAAGACTATACTAATATCATAAGGCAACAGAAGAAGATTGGTATAACTACAGCTAAGAAGTAAAAAAGATCATCAGAAATGCAGAAAAAAGAAAGGAAAAAAGAAAAAACAAAACAAAAACAGAGTCTACAACAGATATTGATGAAGAATAGGAGCTAATAGCTAAAGTAATATAAGCAGTAGTGAGTAAGTATATTCCTTCAACAAAAACGCAAGATTCTAAAAGTCAAATAAGAAAAGAAGTAACAAAATCTCTAATATATAGCAGAGCTAAGATCCTAGGAAGAATATTTAGAAAAGGGTCTAAAGATACAGGACAAAATATAGACAAACTAGAGAGCACAATTCTTAATGCATGAATAGAGTACCTTAATACAGAATATAAAACTAATATACCACTTGTACCAGAAGTTTAGAACAGAGAATTTTGTATTGAAATCAAAAAATGGTAGAATATATTAAAGAAAAAAGCACAGAAAGAATTACAAGTTGCAAAAAAAAAAGAAATAAAGGATAAAATCAAAGAGAGATTCATATTAATATCTAGAAGTCAAAAGCAAATGTTAAACATATTACTCGAATATTCCCATAATAAGATCATAGTTGACAGAGTTATAGTACAAAGTAAGAATAAGTTTAGAAGTAAAAAGTTAATTACAGAAAGTAAAGATATCAAGAAAGAAGTAAAAAGGCATTTCAAATAACAATTTAGAAAGCAAAACTATCAATTCGAGCAATTAGATCATGAATAGGCAAACATATATAAAGAACAAGAAAGAATTAATGAAGCTTAGTATGCAGAAATTATGAACAAAATAATAGAAGAAGAATAGTCAAAAGTTATAAGTATGCTAAAAGAAAATATAGCATTGGATATCTCGAGAATCGGCTATAAACTCATTATAAAAGTAAACCCTAAGACCAAAGAATATTTAGTAAACTTTGCAAACAAAATAGTTTATGAGAGTAAATTTCTTAAGAAATAGAAGTTAGAGCAAATATATCTAATTCCTAAGAGTACAGACTGGGAATTTAATTTAGTGAGTACTAGGCCAATAATACTACTTGAGATATTCAGAAAACTCGTAGTCAGAATTGTGCAAAAAAGATTAAGCAAAGTATTTGTTAAAAAGCAGATCTTAAAAGGAGCAAACTTCACAAGACTGCCTAATGAAAGCACTATGACACCAATTCACGTCTTAAATAATATTATTGAAGATGCAATTCAAAAAGACAAGGAGGAATCTTCAAATAGATTTCAGGTATTGCAACTAGTGTAGAACCTTCAGGTGGACTACTTAAATAAACAATCTAAAGTTGTATATGTGACTAGTTGTATCCTCACAATATGTATCATTACCTACTATCAAATAACTAATAAAGTTTTAGCTGATGGCATTTGTATAAAGTAAAAAAAAAAAAAAAAAAAAAAAAAAATCTAGTTTGAAAATTGGCTTAAGTTTTTAATATAAATTAATAAAAAGTATTAATGTTAAGTAGTAGTATTAATATTGAGTAGTTGTATAATATAAGGTTTAAATATATATTTAATAGTTTATGATTTAAAAGATAGCTTGGTTTTAATCTTTTAAAAAAAGTAATATAAAAAATCATAAAATTCAAATATAAATTATATTATTTATCCTATGAGTACTATATAACAATTTGTGCTTTTTTTTTAAATTATTTATACTAGTCTATATAAAAATTATATAATAAATAATTTTTATATAGACTAGTATAATTAAGTTTTAATCTTTAAAATTATTGTTTATAATAAATCTCAAATATATATTATTTATCTTATGAGTATTATATAATGACTTTTTTTTAAAAAATTATTTATACTAGTTTATATAAAATTATATAATATATAATTTTTATATAAACTAGTATAATTAAGTTTTGATCTTTTAAAATTATTATTTATAATAAATGCTAACTAAAAGTTAGATTATAACATTTGTATTACAAAATATAAACCTATAATACTGTATATGAATTAACACTATTTAGAGTTCTAGTACAGATAAATCTGTCATCCATTTATCTATATCCAAATTTATCCAGATACCCATTGACTATTAATATCCGGATAATCCGACAGATATCTGGATAATTATCCAGATATTAATAGTAAACCGGATATCCAAATATATTCAGATTTGGATATCTGATGGATAAATGAATAAATAGATCATGGATTAAAACTCTAACACTATTATTTCTGGTTTCTAATTTATCAAAGCAATTTACCCGTAAACCCGCGAAATAACGAGCATGGACGTTATTTCGAAAATCGCATTCTCTAAAAATAGTATACCTGGCTTTAAAAATAACGCCCATGCGCGTCCCGAAATAGCGCGCACCTTACATAACACATAGGCAATGAATGACACGTGTAAGCACGTACAGTTAAAATAGAAATATGTTTCAGAAAATCTCACCCGATCTTGTTTCGAAATAATGCACATGCGTGTACTCAAAATAACGCGTTATTTCGCGGTTTTACGGTAATAATTAATTATCTAATAAGGTCAAACTAGCTTGGTTTTGTTTATCATGTAAAATTCAAAATATTGGTTAAAAATAGTACAAAATATAAATACACATGATATCTAATGTTGCAATTCTATTTATTATTTAATGATTTGATCTGCCTATAATGTTGTCTAATTATATATATAGTTTGTTTTATTAAATACATAGTATATACTAAGAGTCTGTCTGATATGAAAAATTGTGTATTCAAATAGCACCAACATGATAATGCTTTAGTTCCTATTCATAAATAGCAATACAGCAAGAAATATATATATTTATAGAAAATTAAATTCTATTAATCTTACATATCTCTCAAATAATATCATTAAAACAGAAATTAAAATTTGATGTTTTTGAATAAAATAATACTTTTATTTGATCAATTATTTCGCTTGATATAAATTACAATAATGATCCGCAATTTTACAAGTCATCTCATCTTTTTAATTGATTTTATTTGTGTAAATTGTCATTTTTAGGAATTTTATTTTCGACTCCGAGTCTAAATAAAGTATCAAATTGGATACAATATGCTGGATCGTTTGCCATTTGACATTCGTGTTAAACTTCTTGTTGTTACTACTGGAGAATCTTCTAATCCCACTTCGTGTTCTTCATCATCTACAACATAATCATCTTCTTCTTCATCTCCGTCAACTTCATTTTCATCATCATCTTCATCAATCTCTTGGTCATGACCATTTTCAACTCTGGTTTCATAATCACTATAATCTACATCACTTTCTTCACATCCGTTGCCAATTTCGTCATCTTCATCATCAATAAGAACATTAGTTCCTCTTAACTCTGCTAATTTTTTAATACGCAATTCTGTCTCGATCTTTTTCATCTGTCGTTTCGATTCTCGATAATCTCGCCAAAGTTCTTTCAACTCTTTTATACCTTCTACAAACAAATTCGCTTTTGCTTCTTTATCTAATGCTGGGTTGTCAAAATTAAATCTAGAAATATTATCTCGCGCTTCATCACTTAATTCGGATATTGAGAGTTCTTCTTGTTTATTTAATTTAAAGGAAGGTTCCTCCTCCATAATTTCTATTGGTTCTTCTGACTGCTCGTTTGGACTATTTACTAAAGGTATTGTTTCAGTTTCAATCTCCAATGGTTCATCTGCAATTGTTGATTCGATTCCATTAAGAGAAATTGGTGATGTAACAGTGGTAGAGGCTTCTTGATCAATTGATTCTGCCACTGATACACTATTATGTTTACGATTTAGTGCTCTACTTGTCCGTGAATTATTACTTGCTTGGTATGATTTATCGGATCTGTCTGATTTATCACTCCCTACACTACGCCGACGTTTACTATCAGATTTGTCACTAGAAGTACTACGAGCTGATTTTTCTTCGCATTTATCGGTATTTTCATTTATTACATTACGACGTCGTTTGCTATCAGATGTTTCGCTTGCACTACTACGCCGTCGTTTCGGTATTTTTTTGTTCGATAATTCATCTTCATCAGAGTTTTTTATGACAGAATTTCTACGTGATGCAATTCCCCGTGAATTTCGATCATTTAAAAAAGATGAATTCCGTCTAGTAGGAGTAATTGTTTCACAATCTATATCCATTCCCGATGCTGGGGATACAGATGTATTTTCTTCTGTAGATTGTGACGCTTGACGACTTGACATTGAACCTCTTTTAGTTGGCCTACTTTTATTTAGTACGTTTCCTTCCGAAGTTGTGTTAGAATGTTCGCCAAACATATTTATTGGTGGTATTTCTATTCTTTTCGTTGAAGATACGCTGGCTTTATGTCTTTTTACAGAAATCTGTGATAAACTATTTTCTCCTCCTTCGAGCGAAGCCGGTCGCTTCCAATAGTCCCATCTAAACGCTTTTATCGGCTCTCCTTTTTGAATACATTTCAATGCCCTGCGAACCCCAATATGAACAGAAAATCCCTCTACTTTCACAAATGATTGATATGGTTCACCATCTATCCTAAAATGTCGTAATCCTTTAGCTTCAACTACTGAATAAGTCATGTCTTCAAAGTACCTAACAAGAAATTTTCGAGCAAGTAAATGCACTTCAAGTTTGCCATCAACATCCATTGTTTCGTCAATTTCATCATTTGGAACTATCATTGCCGGCCACCAAAATTTTGCTTTTAAATCTAATGGATCGACAAATACAATATCTCGTCCTTTAAATTCCTCTCTCAATTGTCGAGTTGATAATCTTCGAATTGGTATTTCTTTTGGCCTGTTGTAAAAAATATTCTTCGTGGCTCGGCGAGGAAGGGAGCGTCGTTGAATACCTACTACTAAATACTGTTAAAATACGTTTTAAATTTTGTAAATTATGTTAAATACTCACTTTCTTCCTCCTCATCGTCGTCTTCAGTAGCACAATCTTCACTTTTAATATGTTCCGTTTCCCCTTGTTCTTTAATTGCTGGTGAACTTTCAGCCGTTTCCACCTCCACTTCTTGTTCCTCTTCCTCTAGTTTCACCTCTGTATTATCGCTTTCGTCAGTCGTTTCGGATAACTTTTGTATTCGTTGTTCTTCTTTAGGCATTAAAGTGGCTGTTTCCTCATCTAGAGGTCGTCTAAAGCGGAGTTAAATCACGTGGAAACGATAATTATAATTCGGGAAATTAAGAATCACGATGTGTCACAGCAAGTCGGACCGCCTGGATCGAGGAACCAGTGTTTGTAAAGGTTTGTCCTGATTGGCTATTTTTACTATTTTCGGGAATTTATTTTAGATCATGTGATTGCAAATTTTACCTAATGAAAATTTTGCACATGTGAATATTGTTAGATTGTGATCAATCATAATTTTATCGGTTATCGTTATATAAAATGAATGACAAGAATTTTGTTAAATATCGCAGGTTGCTATTTAATATTTAAAAAAAAATTAAAATTCGGATTAGTTAGGGTTAGGTTCGAGCTAGTATTAGGGTTAGGGTTAAGAGGACATGTGCAAAATTAAGAGCTGAAAACTTAATTTTTGTTCGTTTTTGTTACGCAAGATCCTGCGATATAATTGGTCGGTCATATTAACCTGCGATATAGCATTTAACAACATTCAATGACAAAATTATATAAAGTTTTTAGTACAGTTAAATCTCGTTAAAATTATTGGTCACGTGATAGATGTAACTTGCGTCATAAATAAAGCTCAACCAATTATTTTTTATAAGAATTCTATTGTAAGTAATGATGAATCTAAGATGCTAAAAATTCAAATGTCACATGCCGTGATCTAAAATTTTTGATTCTTTTTAAATTATTATTGCGACAATTAAATCACACATCTGTAAATCTGAGTTTGTACTGTAAGTTATTATGTAATTGTGATAATTTTTTGAAGTTTTAAATTTCGACTTAGGATTGAGTTTGCGATCTTTCGTTAAAAAGATAATTTAAGATATTACAGCATTTTTTTATTTTTTTTTTTTGAATTTTACCTCTTTGTTTACAAAGCATACTTTATTAAGAGCTATTTACAATATAGGCTTGGTGCTATAGAAAAAGGGAAAATTGACAAAAAAAAAAAGATCTTTGAAAATCAATTTTTTTTTTAAAGTAGCTTATATTGCCAAGTGGATTTTATTAGTTTGATATATGAGGTCACACATGGGCAACCTCTACAGTTTGTAATTATATGAAAAGCATACAACAAACTACACATACAATTTTAGTTATTGTCTAATTTAAGTAGTTTGCTGCATAGATGTTAAATCATCTGTTAGTATTACACTATGCTGCTATACCTGTAATCTACTTGTGAGTTATTTATTTAAACATTCTGTTCAACTAACTCATACTATTACAAACTAATATTATTATAATACCTAATTACTTAAGTTAACTAGCTCATTACAAATCTATTTACTAACTTTAGTTTAGGTCCTCTCAGAATGTATATTGTTTAATATATTGTGAGTATGCAGAGTTCTGATTAACTTCAAAGCAAACCTACTAGAATAATCTGTATCTATTTTATAAATTCTTTTAACTTAGACCTTTGTGATATTTGTATGATCTCAGTTTCTACTGTAGTTTTCTACTAGTATTTATATTCTTCCTCTTAAGATATTTTAAAAAACAGATCTTTCTAAATCTAGTTAGCTGCTAAGTCAAATTAGTATTGCTAATTCTTCTTATAGAATAGACTAACTCATACTTATCTTGATCTATATTTTTCTCAGCAGTATTTTTTATCAGATTAAATATTAGTTAGTATAACTGTTGAAAGCTATGCTACTTTATCAACTTGAAGTTTTTACTATACAAGTCTCTTGCTTATAGATTCTATTAAAATTTATTTATACAATCTTATGTCATACTTTCAATATTCAGATAATATTAGTACAGTATAATTTACAAGATTATAATTCCTAGAAACATATAGAGTTTATAATAAGTTGAATACAAAGGTTTAGATAATTATTCAAATTTATAAGCAATAAGATTTAAACTCCAAATCTCTTATATAGTAGTTTAGCAATCTAATTACTATACTAAAATTAGCAGATTTTCAAAAAATCAATTTTATATTATAAATTTTATAATAAATTATAAGAAAATACAAGCTATTCTATAAGATTTTATTAAGACAACTGCTTTTGTATATTAAATAAAAAATAATTCTAATCTTATTCTAAATTGATTTATACAAAAAATAGATTTTAAAAATTTGTCAATTTCTTATATAAAGGTCAAATTGCTTAGATATTTACTTAATATTATTTTTTTATTTTTATTTGCTTCTTAACAAATTTATCTGATTATAATTACAAATAGAAGAATAACTTTTAAATTTGTATTGAATTTGTTTTAGATAAACTTTTAACTTATTTAAATAAAAGTTGGAATCAATAAATAATCAATTTATATCAATATTAATATAACAAGAAAGTTATATTTCAAAATCATAAAGTAGAATTGAAAATTAAAAATTTTTTATTTTTAATCAAAAAAATAAAAAATAAATACTATTACTAAGCTAAAAAAACTCAAAGATAATAAATTGTTTTATATTTAAATTCAAAATAAATTAGTCAGAATATTAGAAAGTTATAAAAATAATAAAAATTGTAATTAATAAAAATAATCTAGATTTTGAGTTAGTAATAACTCAGATATTTTATAAAATAAGTAGACAATATAAGAAATAAGCTTTACTACTAATTAGTAATTATTAATTTTTTAATATATTTAGTGAAGTTTAGCAGAGTTTGTTTACTTATTCTATAGAATATCTAATAACTCAAAAAAGAGTTTACTTTTCTTATCTTAAAATTATAATAAAAATTTTTTTTTGTTCTTTTGTTTTTTAATTTTTATATTAAATTATATATTTTAATATTACTTGTTGTTTTTTTCATTAAATAAATAAAAAAGTATAAATACAAAATTAATTAATTACTATACTTCAAGTAGAAAATTTTTTTAGATATTACTTTTATTATTATTTATAAAAGAATAATAGACTTGTTTTTTTATTTAATCTTAAAGTTTTATATTTTTAATAATTTCTTTTTTTTAAAAAAAATTAAATATATCATATAAAATATTATTAATTAAAAATTTTGAGATAATTGAGTTTAATAATTTTTAGATTAATTTAGAATTAACTAAATTTCATAATTTTGATTAATTAAATATAATAGATAACTATTAAGTAATCTTATAATATATTTAGCCTTAGGTAGCTTTATATAATTTTGTTTCTATATTATTTCTATTTTTTATTATACAAATCAACTTTTATTTATAATTAAAAAATATTAATTATATCAAAATTTACATAAAACTAATAAAAATTTAATTTTTTTAAATATAAAAATAGTTACTTTTAATTGATAATACTTCATATATATTATTATATTTCTATATGAGTTTTAAAATATAGTACATATGCACTGCAGTACATCCTTTAATTTAGCCAATTAAATTTGTATAACATGAAGATCTTATGTAACAAAAACAAATATTTTTTCTTTAAATTTTTTAAAAAAACTTTAATATCTCAACATTTCATCTATAAAACTACTTTTAGAATTCTAATTAAAAAAATTCTTTGCTAAAATTTGTATATATTACTACCTAGATAAAATCTTAGGCTTCACTCTAACTCTAAAGTAAATCAAAAGTTATTTTTTGTTTTATATACAAATTTTGTAAATCAATTATAAAGATGCACTGCAGTGCACCATGTATTAAATACTAAAATTCTTCTTATATTACTTAAAACAATCTTCTTATATATAATAATAAATTTGTTTATTTTTTTTGTTGTTAAGATAACTTATTTTGCTAATAAAATTTTATAACACAAATATGCTTATTTCGCGTTTATTTAGCTAGGCTTCGGACTCACAATGCTAGTTAAGCATGATCATTGAAAGGATAAACACATGGAACCAGTTTTTTAAATATGACGTAATTTGCACCGCAAATTTGTTCTATCAACTACGTTCCTGGAGAGTGTTGCAAAAAGAAAACTATATATAGATATTATTTTACCCACGCCAAGTTTTTGAAAAGGTGCCTATTAAAAGTATAACGGCTTATTTATGGTCTGTCGTCTGAAGCACTTTACATTCGATTTTGGGAAACTTAAGTGCCATTTTTTGTGACGTAAACAGGATGGCTTCGATATATATGGTTCCTCGCATAAAGTTGAAATTATCGCATCGCACAAAATGCGCACAATATCTGTCTAATATACAGATCGTCTTCTTCACTTTGTACATTTTGTAAAACAAACTAAGGTTGTCGCTCAATTCCACAAAAACTGCTTACCCGACAGTCCATTTATCCAATATTAGACGATTTACCATTTAGTTAGCTATAGGTATATTGTATTAGTAAATTTCACCTCATGTGATCTCGGGTAAATAGACTTTTGGGTAAATAGTTTTCGGGGAATCGTACCGTAACCACAAAGTGTACAACGCCCATTAAGCATGATGCAGCAATATATTACGTATGTACGTACAAATATTTCTTAAACAGTTAAACAAAGTGTAAAACGCCCATTTAGATGATGCAGCAATCTATTTTTAAAACCAACTTTTCTTTCGTACTCTTACTTTTCATATTTTATTTTTATATTTAAGAACAACTTTTCATTCGTATCTTCTTACTTTTTCATATTATATTTTTATATAACAAAAATGTCAGATAAAGAAGAAATTACTGAAATTATTAGCAAATTTGGTCAATTATGTTTTACTGATTATCAAAGATCAGCAGATATGATAATCCTGATGGAATTTTTATGCTTGGCTATCGTTATGAAAATGGAATTGATGTTGAAAAGGATGAGAATAAGGCATACACACACTATCAAAAATCTGCGGAATTGAATAATTCTTATGGGATGTATAAAGTCGGCCAATGTTATCTTCATGGAATTGGAATTGAAAAGGACGAACACCAGGCATTTACTTGGTTTGAAAAATCTGCAAATGCAGGAAATTCTAACGGAATGTATCAAGTTGGTAATTGCTATCTTCAAGGAATTGGTGTTAAAACTGATAAACAAAAAGCATTTGAACA